GAAAAGAATCAGTCAGTTTCGATACGTTGCTGTTCACAAGCGACCTGTCGATACACCGAGTTTAGCGCGATGCAGAAAGGCAGAAAACAAGGTGCGATTAACATAATTCGCGTTGTGTAGTCCGCGACGAAACTTAATTTCTTGAAGTATACGAAGGGAGTTCACTTCCCGCGTGTAAATTCCTCTCGTAAGCTTTCTCGTCGGTGTGCTTGTCAAGAGTGACGTCCTTCAGCGATCACGCCAACGGCTAAGGAACCGTCGAGCAAGTTCACATGGTGCTCGCCGAAGACCTCAGGCTCGCGGGCAAGGCAGGACGAAAGGAGTTGGAGAAAATGAAAAGAAGAAGAAGACGAAGACGGCGGCTAAGCGGGAAGGTTGAGGAAGGAACCCTGGCAACCCGGCATGCGGGGCTTTAGCGGAGACTGACGTTTACGGCTCGGAGCGGTCGACCTAGCGCCAGTAAAACTTGAGAAGAAATACAAGCGAAGTCCGCATCGACAGTTAAAGTCATACGCGCGAAAATACAACCAGGCGTCTATGAAATACGACGTACTTGTCCACCTAACTCTGGTGAACGAAGCCACCGGGGTCCGCCCGGGATACGCGTCTCATTAATGAAGGTGGCCGCACCTTTCACCGATCTGCGATCGCGATCGATAAACAAATTCTTTGCGTAACAGATAGGACGCTCCGGGTGTTTGGCGAGACATTCCTCTAACAAAACTGTCGAATCTTTTTGGCAGACACTGGAACGTCTTTATCTTGAAACGATCGGTGCGATTCTTTCTCGATACAGGGGAAACTGCAATACGAACCGTGTTAGGTATAAAATGCAAACCTGTTTTCTTCCTTTCGACCAATTAGAATACAATTAAATACTTAATATCAATTTAATATTAATTACCTGCGAAGAAAGTTCATTTTGTTCATAAAAGGCTTATCGAGGAGGATGTAATTAATATTAGAAGACAATGAAAGTGCAATTTAAAAAATATGAATAATAAAAATGCGAAAAATAATTATTTATTCGTCAATATTCGGAATGAAACGAGTCTAGGCTAACGTAGAGCGAATAGGTGTTATTTCAAGCTTCCACAGTGATTTTACGGTCACTCTCCCCCCTATCCACCTAAACCCTCGTCAAGGGTGGTAGCGCGCGGGTGGAGGTGTGAGAATCCGCGAAGCACTTACTAGCAGACGATAAACTTCCACCCATCTCGTCCACAACCCGCCGCGACCGTTTCCATTTTAGTTCTATGCCTGGATGTCGTCTCCTTAGACCACGTTTACGACTTCTCGAGCACAGTCACTGCTCGTCTTGGGATCTGCCTAGATCGTCCACCGGAAGAAACCCTTTGTCGATGAAAGGGTTCTTTTCTTCCCGAACATGTACCCGCAGACTGGCTTCTCTTCGCGAAATTCAAGTCGAAAGAAAGGTTTAATCCGCTGGCTGTCTTTACAAAGAATAAAGTTAAAATACAATAAGTCGGATTTTATATTATAGTTGACCAAACGTATCTAGCCTGTCTTTTACCTATAATTGTCGACACTGGCTCAGCATATAACTTAAACCTGGGAACTGTCATGCGAAATATCTTGTGATTTTTACGATTTTTAATCTTGCATTAATCGTTCTGTGTAATAAACGGGAGAATAACATTATCGCCGAATTAGTTGTGTGCGGAGATCGCTAACGGAAACAACGTACATCTGCGAATTCATTGGGACATAAATAGATTACGCAACTAAGGATATTGTGAAGTGGGATAGCTGTAAATCATATTTTTACGAGGCACTCCATGGTTAATCAAGAGAAAAGGGTTCTTTCGAAAGAATTTAAACGTGAACTGTGAGCCGATGCCCATGCCTTCGATTCATCGCGATCTCTTCTTCCTTCCCCCTGTCTTTTTAACCTCATCTTTATTATTGTTATATTATTATTGTAGTGATTATTATCATTATTATTGTTAATAATGTGGTAAATTTTTCCCTACATACTTTAGTTTTTAAAAGAATTTGATACGTGTATAGTTTTATTTATATCTTGTATGTAAAACTTTATAACGTCCTGGAATAGTGTATTTGCTGAAAGATATGCCTGTTGGTGTTTCTTTCTCGTCGAGAAGTGTGCGTAATAAAACGAACGATATCAGTTTTTCTAAACGAGAATACATAACGAGTCGGTAAGCGGCAAATTAAAATGAGTGCAAAGTGTTATATTTATAATGCGTAGCGATCGCTGCGTCTATATAAAGAAAATGCAAATACGGTGGACGTGTAGACGTGGCACGATAAATTCATGCCGTTCGAGGCTCTCCATTGGCTTTCGTGCCATTCGTAATCGGTCATCGAGTGTTCCTTGAAAGCTCGCATCCACTTAACACGAATAGATCCTGCGTGCATCGTAACGCACCGTTACAGATACGTGTACTTAACAAAGTGGTTGGCACTTTGACGAGCCAGTCGCTCGTAAAAAAAGACTCGGACGCGGACGGTTAAAGCCTCGTGAAAACGAGACGACGAATTGCGTACGGGCACAAATCCACAAGCTCTAAAGTGAGACGGAAAGAATGCGTATTGCAACACGATCAGAAACGAGCGTAACGCCCGGTCTCGCCCCTGAAACGGCATCAAAGTAATGTCGATCGTTACAGGGATCGCTTTACGAGTGGAAATAATATTCCGAGCGTCGTCAACCGGTTAAATGGATATAACATTGATGGGCGACTATAACCATCGCGTGCGTATCAATGAACTCGGTTTCTCTCTTATCACGTTTCCTTCCGCGTGTCTCTCGAATATGTCTTATCGGTGAAATAATTTTCCTTCACTGTTTGTGCATCCGTTACTTGACACGTGATTCGACAGTTTAAAGTTTTGTAAGCCTCTCGAAGCCGGTCGCGTGATTCCGCAATAATAGTCCGCGAAGTATCGCATTTCCGCTGGAAACTACCTTCACGTACACTCGTCTCTCGTGCATTTTTCTTCAAGTCGGATCACGATTTTATTGGCGAATCTCTTAGACACGGTTGCAACGTCGACAAACAAAAGAGCCGATTAAAACGGTTCCGAGAAGAGGTTCGTGGCGTCTAACGAAAGGTCCTTTCAAAGTTGATCCTCTGAGATGCGAACTGAGTCTTTATCGCCACTACTCTTTCGGAACGTATGTCTGCGGGACGTGTTTTACGAGGCGACCAGGTTTTAGTGCCGGACGGTATTTTGCTTGGTCATTTTAATGTCTGTCTTGTACCGCTTTTTGTTTACAAGTTACCGCTTTGTGTATTAGTCAGATAAAATGATAAAGTCTCAATCAAAATGTCACATAGTGTATCACGGCTCAAAATTTTTATTAATATGATTAACACCTTGATTTCCTGGTTTCCTCGATTACACCTTTACCTTGATTTATTTGCACTTATTTTCTCTTAGATAGATATTTTGAAACATATATATATATATTTAAATATATATACAGCGATTGTGAAAGTAAAACAAAACCATAACGGCTAGTCATGATTAAGATTTCACCATGCAAAGCTGATTAGACAGAGATGTTCGATCTGGGTGTACCAATGCGTCTAGACTTTCGAAAAAGTCTGTTACAACCTGCTGTCGCGGCGGGCAGGAAACTGAGTCTGCCAGTGGGTGCACGTATGAAAACTAAGTCCGGGTTTCATTTGACTGGCTTTACGAGGGAGACATAAAATGGATTTTACTGTCGGCTAGTTCGCCAGTTCTCGAGTTGGTAACATTGCTTTAGCGAACATAATATATATATATACATATACATACACTCCTCTTTCGCGTTCTTGTCGTTTCTTCAGCCCCCTTTCCTTCCTTATCAACTCTTTTCTCTCTTGCCATCCTTCCGCAGTGGATTTTATTTCACGGCAGAGGACGTGTATCGCTCGTCTGCCTTCTTCCCCTTCGCATTCGCGATCCAGCGTGTCCTTCCTTAAAACATCGCGGTAAGTTTCCTCTCGCCCGTCGCCTCTCGGCGAAAACCTCTCGAATGAGAAATGTCCCGCTACCAGATTTAATATCCGCCGGATAAGCTGACATGACGGTCGTTAACTGCTCTTCGGGCTCCGTTTCTCTTCAGTCGGCGGTTTCCGGCACTTGGTAATTTTTTCGCGTTTGCGTTAATGTGACGGTCGTTTATGTTAAATGACTGGAATGAGTTCCTGTTACATAGCTCAGGATTATAATGTAATAAAGACGATAACAAAATGGTAACAAATTTATAATAAACCTCGTGAAATGGCAACGATTGTTTTCACATTTTTGATAGCTGAACAATCTGTGCGCGTCGCAAAACTACAGGAAGATGTCACAGAGACGTGATCGTATACAGGAAATTAAATGTGATAATGAAATTAGTTAGTATATGACTGGGGGATGAAATAGTCATAAATAACTTGCAAGCGCGAGAGAATATTCTATTGTCTTGTTAATACAAGAGCGGAACGAGTTCGTTTTATCGCAACGTAGAGCCGCAAACGAACGGTGTTTTTGTTGATGCTGAGAAACGCGTCGCGCTCTTGATCGTAGTTGAATGCAACGTTGCGTTTTTACGTCGCATGTCAGGTCATTTGGTAAACATGCATTTACATTGATAAACGTTGTCGGTGGTAGTAAAAGAACGCGATTTACTTGGTATTAATGCGAATCCCAAGTAGCATAGATATGTACGTCTGTACATTTTTTTATCCTCTCGTTGCAGCTGGCAAATAATCGCAGTTGCGATCGATATCATCTGTTATTATCCCATACGGCACGCATGTTTAAAGGCCTGTGTTCATTCTATTTATGTACAGCTATTCCATAAAAGTTGCAAGTATTGGCTACACATTTATCGGCACTAGAACTTGGATCAAGTTCTAGTATCGTGGACACAGGCCTTTAAAGACATCTTAAAGATGTTTATATACGTGTTGTTTGGGTATCACTGTGCATTTTTACTTTGCCCTTGTAAAACCTTTTCTTGCTCCTGCTTTCAGATCGATCGCTGACAATCAGTGAAGTAAATCGACGAAGGAAACATGTTGAATCCAAAGAAAATCACGTCGCCTCCGGAATGATAGAACGGCTGTCGGGAGCATTGGACCTGAACGATCATCGCCAACTCGTTTCGGATATCGCTTCGCGAGGTGTGTGGTCAACGCTGCTACATACCCAGTGGACCGAGCAAATCGCAGTCAGTTGCAAGAGCCGAGGAACTCGGTGGAAAAGTCGCGAGAAAGTCGTCGTGTCGGTTTCGCGAGATGTTCCGAGATGTTTTCGGTCCTTTGATCAATCGTAATCGCAGTTTCTCGTGAGGAAACAAAAGCTCCGGCAAAGTTTCCGACGAAACGATTGCTCTCTACGAGTAATCTCGCGATATTTTACGACGATAGTTGGACCGTCAATAGACCAACGTGATCGGCAAGACCCGCAGAGCTTAAGGGCCTAAGCACACGAAAAAAACTTGAGGCAATAAGACTTAATACATAAGGGAAGTGACCAGTGACAGTCGCAAACGTAAGCAGCCATTTTGAAACTTGAGCAACGCTAAAAATTTCGATTGGCTGAAATTCCCTTCTTACTGCTTAGGTGAGAAGACTTAAGAATTTTTCTTTCGCGTGTGTTTGGGTTTTGGACTCGATCCATTTCCGGTCACTCGCGTTTCTCTTGGAGACTGGGTTGTATGTACATGATCGTTACGCGCGGATCTTAGTTTCGGGCGGAGCAAAATCGACGGAGCCTGATATTACGTATCAGACGAGACAGTTCTCGCGAGGCGAGCTCGATTAAGTAGGATCCCGGAGAACGGGAACGTTGCGACATGCCGCTTCTGTCTCCCCTCGATCCAGCCTTGTTCGGCGAGTTCCTCCTCGTGCGTCCGCCCATTTTAAATTCAGTGCGATAACGTGATGGCAAGATGCAAAAGCAGCGGGCAAGCTCCCGCTGCGTAGAGAGTAAGCGTGACAGGCGTCGAGAAGGATCACTGAAGAATTCGAACGACGGTTTTTACTCGCTGGCTCTCCCCAACAACGCGTATAGGCAATTTCGCGCGTGGAAAACCGGACACTGGATGGCAGCGGTGACCGCGCATGCAAACGAGACGCTGGCCGAATTAATCAATGGACTTTACTGATTTTGACGCTTTCTGCTTTATTCATATATATTGCATACATTTTGACTACTGCAAACGCATTTTTTCCCCCGATTTCTCGTTAAATGTTACTGGAAGGTGCGAAACTCGCATTTACGCACGATTAAACATATATATTCGAGTAAGCCATCCAGATTTCATCGATTATGTAATACTTAAAATCTGTTTGATAGATTTAAAAGTTTTTCATACAAAATCTGTTTATCCCTCAAAGGCGCAGTAAAAATACCTCTTTCCAAGCTATATCCACGCAAATCGTACTTGTCCAATGTTCAAGAACAGATACGTAACATCCCTTTACGTCTAATGTAAAACATGTGTCATTTTCAAGCAGCTATTAACGTGAGTAAATCAATAATCCTGGTGATGTGTGAAAAGCATTAATCTTGGAATACCGTGAATTAATCCGATCCGTATAATAAAATTCTTATCGTGGCGAATTATCAGCCGCCATTCTTTGAAAATTAAAATTTTTCGAACGAAGGCGAACGCATCTGCGCGTATAATCGCAAAATCGGCGGATGTGTCAGTCGTGCGGTGCGGTGCAATAAGATAACCGCTCAAAAACTGGTCGCTCCAGCTCGCGGCAAATTAATTTACAAATAAGAGCACCGAAAAACACTGTCCCTTCGATGCAGTCTCATTCTCTTCTGCTTGCTCCTTTTCTCGACGCTTCTCTTCCGTCCCTCCTGCTTCGCGCGAAACACGTTTATACTTAATTACTCGTTTCCGTAAATGAATTTGCGTTTTAATAATGATTATATGCACCGTGCTGCGTCAGATTTATCATCGTCCTCTCGCTTAATTTGTAACTTGGGAATTAATTTGCATATTAACTGAGCTTTTATGGACGAGATCGCACTTGAAAGTTTTGTTTAAAGCTTCTTTCTATTCGTACATATAGGTGCGTTATGTCGTTTAGAGGAACTTTCTGTTTCTTGCTTAATTAGTGTAGTAAGATTAGAAATTTAGCTATAATTAATTCAATAGTAACACAAGCCCACACACAATACACGATTAGTTTATCATCTCATTATATATCGAACTAGGTGTTCATCAGATATTCCAACAGGCTTGCATCTGCTTAAAAAAACACCGTTCTACTTTCGCCTTACGGATGACTGAATCGCGAGGAGAAATTCTCACTAACACCAAAACGACGGCTCCGGACGATTGACTTTTAATTAACCATCGCACGGCATTACACGAAATGCACGCACTTCGTGCGAGCCTTGTTACATGTGAGACGCGCGTCAGATGTCCGTACGAAGACGACATACACAGCAACCAATCGGGTGGCAGTGGTCGATATCCTATAATTTTCGGCATCCTGGTGTTTATTACTGTAACCCGCAATTTCAGTTCAAGTTGAGCTCGCCACGTACGTCGCTGTACGTAAAATGCGTAAATTGCGATCGCTTTATCATCTGAAAGCATCCGACGGGGAAACGGGGTGAACGGGCAAATCGAATTACACGACGTGACCTGTTGCATTTGATACAGCAGGAGAGCGTTCTATTCTTCCGCACAGAGATTCGCCAGCCTCGAAAGTTAAATTCGATCAAACGATATTCATAGCGCTTCCGTGAAACTTAGAATCACGAAGCGTCAACGTAATGGTCCCCGTAAACGGCGTGCGTTACACTCACGTCCGTTAGCGTGCATGTGAAACATGTGTTCATGGTGGATCGCATGCGTCTGCACGCACACGTATCACCTTGGCCAGGTATGTTCGCATGTTCTGCACAGTATCGTGCACAACGTTGAATTATTTGACCTTCTAGAAAAACGGAAGGACTCGTCTATAATTTTCCAATGGTCTCTGTTGCCAGAGAAACTGACGGAAATTCGTATCTCTCACAAGCAATTACGATTAGACCGTCGGATTACCAATTAAATTACAGTGAGATATCTATTTTATTTTGACGATTTCTCTTTTCGTAAGTAAAGTATTCGAGGAATTCAAGAGTGAAAGCGGAACCTTAACTTAGTTCTCACTCGGTAATTTTATTAATTAAAATTCTATTTTTATCTAACGAACTTTCGCCGTGATGTCACGCACGTCTTGTACTTCGAATATTATAATGTCCACACGTATCGCTGAGATAATCCCTAATATTTGTCGGCCGTTTAATGCACTTTGCTAAGGTACACCATTTTAGAGATTCGACAATTTCAACACGCGAGCGTGAGATGTTATGCTCGTAGCAGATTCGCTCGACCTTGCGAATTTTACATATTGTCGCCATACTTTTTTAAGCAATAACTTTGAAGTGTAATCGTAATATAATCTATTTTGTAAGTGTATTTGTTAGAGGCACACGTCCTTTCACTTTAGATAGAAACATTATTGCGCGTATGAATAAATGCGCAAACGTTCGCGTCTGAGCGAGTGACGGAGTATCAGATTATTGGTGTCAATAATGACGATTAATTCAGTTTTTATAACGTACGTGGTAACTATCTTTCTTTTTAATCATAAGTACTTATTGAGGGACTTATTCGCGAATAATTTTCCGTGAAGGCAGCTCTCTAACAAGAAGTAGTTATTACTTGCTGTTCTCTTTCCTTTTCCTGAGGGTCGCTCGTTTCAGCTGAAACGATCGATGGAGGGATAGTGTGTTTGATATTTGACGTGTATATTCTAATAGGATACTTTCTAACACAAGGAAGGTCATAAGTTCTCTCGGTTGTGAGCTCGGTTGTGAAAAAAGAGCTCTCTTGCGAAATGCGGAGTGCACGTTCTCCAATCGAGAAGACTCTTCTCAGTGTTATTTTACACCTTATAAGATTTTCTTTTGTTGGAAAAATCGTAATAGACACCGTTTTCTAGTAATCGACTATGGATACGTCCCGTTTAACGCTCGTAACGCTCTTGGAATCATTTTATCCTTGTCGTTTGGCAAAAGGATAAACGAGCGTTATCGTTATGAGCGATAAACGGGACGCACCTTATGTATTACATTGAACTCTTTATCTAAACATTTTATCTAAACTAAATTATGTATGCGTTGTAAGGCAGTTGCAAAGTTATCCTTGTATGAATATTGTTGCTTGGGCCGTCCAAGATCTAATGAGGCGAATACGCAATTCTCGAACTACGTAAAAAACTAGAAAAAAACATACACCGGCACTTATATCCCACATGAAGCGTTGATCTATACGCGAAATCGTTAGATGATGAAATCGATAGCGATCGAGGTTTCGTGTCTTTATTTTTGTGGCTCACGTCGAAGTCGAACGAGTCAGACATTGCTACGGTATGAAAAGTATGAAACTTTGCAGATCATTTTTATTTAACGGATCGTGACCAGTGTTTGAATTAAGAAAAGGAACAGGTATCTGTAATACTTAATACGACCTATTTACCTACATGTTTCTATTAAATTTGGCTATTATAATTATTTGTCCAACGATTGGTAGAGAAAGATGTTGAAAACAAGTGCAATAATCAAGACGACCGTAGGATGAGAAAGGACGATGATTATAATATTACGAAAATGTAAGGGTAGCTTTGCATGGAGGAAAATAAGGAAGCGAAATATGGAGCGTACGCGTATTATTGTCTATTAAGTGTTACGTTATATAAATAAAACAGTAACGCTATATATAATCACAGCAGCGTCTAATGCTTTAACCCTTGGAGAGATCCTTTCCGGCCAGAATATTTATTTGCAGATTTGTTCTCTCTTTTAAAGTTGCTCTGCAAAAAAGTTATTCCGTATCTTCTGCTTACTATACCGTGAACGCATTTGTACTGTAGAAAAGAATTAAATTATTGAATGGCTACACCTCTGCGAGTTGAGGTAAGTGGTGCACATTTTCCATAAGTACAAGTTTTCGCATGTTCGTATTATTTGCTTTCACTTAAACCCGTTCAAATGGAAAGTAGGTTTAACAAATAAGCTTATCAAGGACTCAATTAGCGGGAATTAAATTGCGTGTCAGAATTTATTTTATGAGAATGCAAGAACTTACGAGTTTACTTGGTGGTCACTAGCGACAGAAAGGGAGAAAGAGAACGATACTACGTTTCTTTCATTTTGCGCGAGATATCATCCAGCTCGTTCTGCAACTCACCGAGCGGATGCGTACGGGACCGATAAAATACTGATACTTTACTGACTGCTTGCGTTAAATAATTACAGTAATCACGGTAAACCGTTCTAATGTTCCATCGACGCTCGGTCTTTCTGCAACGTTCTTTTCTATGCGTTACTTGGTGGCTCCGACTGCGCCGTGGTTTTCTCGCTCTTTGGTCAATGCTGCAATTATTTTCAATTTAAGGCGACGTAGAGAGCATTAGAAATTGTGATTGCGCTCTTATTGAAATCGTTCCTGCGATATTAAACTTCAATTTCCCACTGCATTGCGATCGTACGTTTTTTACCGCAACCGTTAACATTTTTAACGTGCGTTCAAAATTTTTTCGCGAGACGTCCGCGTAATTATAGGATGGAGAGAGCGAGAGAGGCCGCTCTGTAACGGGAGGAAGAGACGAGTCCGCTCGGTTGCAGCTCGGTATCAAGATTGACATTATAAGCGCGGAGGACGAGACGCTTTCTCGGATAATACCTGTTATGAATAAATGGCATCCATAACGCTTGCATTTAACATATAATGTAAAAATAATATAAAAGAGAGAAAAGTGATTGCGATATTAATCGTGTTACGTAACGATATGTTTTGTCGCGGTAACAATTACCAGTGATCAACAAAGTGTTTTAGAGCAATGTGACCGCGCCAGTTTACTCAGAAATTATTTAAGTTTTTGTCAGAGTCGTGTATCGCTGTTCTATGAATATACTAGTGAGAAATGAGATCATGTGCCAATTGATTCAGAATTCTATTTCATTGTTTCTTTGTTTCGTCATTAAATGAATTGTCAAAGAGACGCTATAATATCTGCGCGGACGTCATTCGGCGGAAGTATCGACAATGCGGTGTAATGTATTCATCTTGCGCGATCATTGCCAAAAGTGGACAATATATATAATCGCACTAACATTAATGTAGTTTTGGTTTGAGAGCGAGCAACAGTCACAAGTTTGAGAACTGTATTCAGCCGCTCCAACTTTTTCTTCCCAGAAGATCACACCTGCTATTATGGCGCATTCAGAGGTAAAATATCCGATGCACGCAAGCAATCTTTTCAATCGTTTCCTCACGAAACAAAGGAGTACTTCTTCAACGATCTTCGCGTTTCTCTTAAGCGTAAAAAAAAGATCCCTGATGGCTACATATCCTACGTGCGTGTTGAAAATTGTCCGAATGTAAAAGATTGGAAATAATGAGTGCGCCATTTACTGCGTCAGAGGGTTCGACTGTAGCCTACCATCAATGGTACAGTCAGAGGTGACCGACGCTAAAGAAATGTAATTGCTTCAGTGAAGATGCGCTTTCTGATACACATTTCCGAAGTTTCTCTTTTAAAAGAGCAATAGATACCATTACAGTATTAGTGGCTTTTATGAAGTTTATATTATATAAAAACGTCACTTGGAGAAACAAATATCTTAATGTTGGGCCTGTAAATGTCTGTAAAGGACCTAACATCTACGGAATATATGTTTTCCATTGCAAATATTATTTGTAACTGTGTTTACGAACGACATAAAGATATCCATGCACTAAAATATAATCAACGCAATTTTGAAATATTTTACAAGATTTTCACTCACAAGATTCACTCACCAAGATGCTATAAATTTAGACTGTATTAATTTTTCAGTATATAAATTTTCTTTATTATCTCTAATCAAATATAATCTCTAATCAAAGCGTTAAGTAAATATAATGTTTGTTCTTCAACTGTGAATTTTCTCGGGCAAATAATATTACATCACGTAATTACATGATATGCGATACAATGTTATAACGCATTCTTTTATTATTCTTGTTTTATCAATATCCCAGAGTGTTTTACCAGTAGGCTTACCCTACTCTCATCATTACAGAGTTCTATCCTAATATAGATGAGGTAAATCAGCTGCGCGGGATATTATCCGTTATAATATTCCTAATAGTTCTTTTCTATCTGCCGTAAAATTACTCCCAGTATCCATTCTCTTCACCAAGGTCACCAACTTATCTCGTTCCTCCTGTCTTTCCGTCCCCACCTACTCTCTTCCGATCTATCTTGATCCCTATCTCCCGTCTGTCGGTTACATACACCTTTGCCAACGATTGCGTCAAATGTGCAATCTAAAGATCCCGTCACTAATTGTTTTTTTTTTTTAGATTTATCTTGGATACTTTTAAGCATGGGAATTGACTTGTACGAACGGAAGATGGATTTGTAAGAACGACAATCATTCTTTTCGAACGATTCGATTTATATGTCTCGGAGTACATAAAAGTTTTGATTAACATGTATAATATTTAAATTTACCGAGAAAAAGCCAATTTTAAAAAACAAATTATTATTCATTAATTTCAAGAGATTTATTGTTGATAACTAACGCAACCGAAATTTTCTCAGTTACTTATTCATTCATTTTCGCACTATACTATACACGCAAACACACACACACACACACTCTCTTTCTAAAGCATTTTTTAAGTATAATAAAATTTGTTATTTTTATGGCAATCAAGTTGAGATGATGCAAGTGTCATACAGGGGCAATCACTCATCAGCGATAGTTTCGGCTCGACTTGTGTCGCGTCGTGTAATTCCTTGATGTTGTCGGAGTCGCCCGTGCGTATGCAAACTCGGCGCAACAACCGGCGACGGTTCGTGGCGTACGAAGAAAAGAAAAGAAACGAAAAGAAAACTGGCCGCACCGTCCGTGCGAACATTCGCCAACCGAGATACTGGATTCCTGCTGTGAGATGAACCACACTGATGTTGCGGGGCTGAGTAATTCAATATTGACGGCGAACGCGCCTCTTGCCGCGGATTGTACACGTTTGTGTGACAATGTAGCTGCAATTTGTCCATTTGCTATGCACAGGACGATCCCGCATGCACAATCGTGGGCCGTTTACATGTAAAAGATTGGACAACACAAGACGTAAAAAATTCCTTACTGCCACTCGAATTCTATTCTCCCTCTCTCCGTGTCTCGCATTCTTTCCTCACACTTTGCGCTGTCGCGAAATCGGATAACAGAACACATAGTTCTCAAATTACAAACATATCTTGTGGCCTCGGGGTTGCCGAATCTTTCAGGCCGCATATTGTCGCGTATACAAAATATATACGAGTACACTTATTGTTTCACTCGTGATACTCATTCTATTCGATACGATTAGCTGGCATTTTAAGACAACTAAATACTTCAGCATTATTACAGAGGCGACAAGAAAGTTCCAATATGAAGCTTAAGAAATTCCTTTTAATAGGTTTGCTCCCTCGCAGAGCAACGTATACCCCGCTTTTTATGAAAGAGTTACTTTATGTATGATTCGTTAGATAACCTACATTCAAAATAACGAAGAACAAGACGTGCATATAATACAATCGCATAACTATGTGAATGAGGTTCGCGGAGCTTTCCGAATAGCACATGTACTTTCTATTTATCCCTAATTGCTATGCACATATGTGTGCCACCACATACAATATGCAAGTACAAGAGGAGTCAACCACATCGATTATTATATATATATATATTTGATACTTTTAGCTCCATATTGCAGTACACGTCACTTTTTATCGATTTACGTATGTGTATTTTCTCTATCTGTAGACTTAAAGAATATGTTCGACGAAGACTCCTATAACGAGGCAATACCATAAGAATAACTTATCTGTTATTCTTTCACAAGTTTATTAAATATGGCATTTAAAAAGAGCACGAAATGTTGAACTTTGTATAAGAGACGCGCTTTGCATCAAGTATTTCGTAAAATATATATCCTTCCATGAGCGAGACACTGCAACATATCCTTTATTGAATATGTATATACAAATGGGTCGTTTCTAAGAACTAATCATATCGTACGTTTATTTTTACCGTCAAATAGCAATGGCAAGGTATTCTCAGGAGAGCAGTAGGGTGGGGGTCTTTGACATATAACTTGAAACAATATGTTATTGATGTATATGATAGACGCTATGGAAAATTGTTTCGAAATCGTGCCGATAAATTAAATGGTTCTCTCAAATTTAAGTTATAACAGCGCAAACACAGGATTTGTATCGAATTAATATATGTATGTTAAATATAGTTTTATAATAAACAGAATTTATATGTAGAAATATATATTATCGGAATTTATTGGTGACGCGTTATTATGTTACCTTTTTGCGCTCTGTTCTCTTTTTGGTAAAGAACGTTTCAAGTGTATAAATTTCCGTAAAATATCTTATGTTTAAAAATTAAATATGTACATTTTTATTCCTAGTGATGTGTTTACCGTATTAAAGAACATGGTGGAATACGCTTGGATTGTTAGAGAAGTCTGACTGAAACGAAAATGATAATAATTATAACTGAGTCGTGCAGAAATTATCTGCACGCGACGCACTTACTTCCTTCTCGTTATTTACTTAATTATGTTTTGCTTTGCTGCTACATATAAAAGTGCGAGAAAGTATCCGTACTTGGATCTTCTTCAAGTAAAAATTTGCGGAACGTTATTTACTAAATTACGTTTACCGTATATTTTCA